AAATTGCTGATTACCTTGAATGCTTCGATGTATGCTGCATTTCAAAGAATGTTCGGGATGACAAAATACCAGCACATTTCATCACTGCTATTGGGCTAGATGCGTATAGCCTAGTAAAGACTCTGTCATTTCCAGATAAACCTATTTCTCTGTCATATGTCAAGATTCGTGAACTTCTGACAAATCACTTTCATGTAACTACATTTGAGACCAGAGAGAGGGCTCAATTCCATAAACTGGTTCGTGCTCCCAACCAGAAGATAAGAGACTTCATTCTTCAACTCCAAATACAAGCTTCAAAGTGTAACTTTGGAGATCAGCTGCATACTCAACTACGTGATCGTCTAATTGCTGGAATCAATATTCCTAAGTTAGAGAAAGAGTTAATTCAGATTCCTTCTTGTACCTTTCAAACTGCTAAAGATTTATGTATTACATATGAAGATGTCAATAATGAATACTCTGCTCCCACTACGTCAGTATCTGATGTCATGCTGTCCAAAGTCGAAAATACAAGTGTTCATGGAAAGCAATCCAAACTGCCGTCCACAGGTAATAGAATGCAGCGAGAGATCAAAAACATTAAACCGTGTTTTTCCTGTGGAAAGTTACATCTACGAAGCACTTGCCGTTTTCGGGGTGCTAAGTGTTACAAATGTGGTAAAGTTGGACACATCAAGACTGTTTGCAGAAGTTCGAATACTTATGTTGCTCAGTATTCTTATAATTCTCCCAATCTGTCTAGTAAAATGGAGTCAATGTGTCTTTCAACCTTTCAAAATACTCAATCTCATCCAATGAAAACCTCCACTACAAGTTCAGCAACTCAAGTGTCAACTGTTTTCAAAAATGTGGTAGCCGAGTTACAATGTGAACTGTCGAAAACACGAAAAAACTGAATGAGATGAGAGAGCAACTGATTAAAATGGAGGAATTGATACATATGCATAGACTGCGTCTGTTGAATGCAGAGCATACAAGTACCCGTGAAAGTCCTGCAAAACTTTTCAAATCTCGAATTCTCAAAAAGCATCTGATGTCCACGACTTCTAATGTACATTATTACAAAGATAATAACTACAGACCTTCTGTTGGAATTATACTACAAAAAATGGGAAATCGAGTGGTGAAGATATTAGACATCAAAGATCACTCAGTTCATAACAGACACCTGGACAAAGTGACAATAAATGAAGTAGGTCGTTCCAATTATAATATTATTGATTCCGCTAATAATCCTGATTTTGTAGATAATTCTGAAATAAGTCCAGATAACAGTGATGAAGATAATATCACAGAATCAGTTAGGTCGAAGCTACTTGCAAGCAAACCGAGACATCGTTATAAATACGCAAGGAGATATTCGAGGTGTGGCGGATGTGGTGATTGACAATTTCTATCTCTGTATTGTTTAGGTACTTACTGTTGACTGATAATATGTTTCATATATGAATTGCATAATAATTCCGCTAAATACAAATTCCTGAATTCCACCCTCTCTGTGTTTTGTTTGGATTCTTGTAATTCGGTCATCTCGAAATACTAATACTACGACTACAGTAAATAACTACACTACACGTTTAAGGATGCCGTGTGTAGACGATACACTGATACGTAGTTATTTAAATTCACCTGTTGTTCGTCGACTTATGAATGTAAAACCAGATGTGCCAAAGGAATGGGATATATGCAGTGATGAAGTCAATGTTAAATACATTCGTACTTATGAAGATCTGTCTGAACAGTATATGAAACTACTTCAATCCAATGTAAGTCAGTCAGTTGTGTTACCTTCATATTGTATTCCGCGTTGATTTGTTTTTCTGGGATCGAATTGCTTGACATCTTTTAACATTTCAACTCCCAGCATGGATGTTACTACAATATCTTGAGATAACCACGATGTCACTTGATGTTGGCTGATGTAGGCTGTCAGTGGATTACAACACTACCTGCGCTTCGTCCCATTTGGGAGTCGTCAGTTGGATATTTTTACAATCTCCATAGAATGATAACTCATTAGCGTTCGAAACGATCTGAGATGGGTTTGGTTGTGGCTAAGGAAATACCATCACTCACTGTAGGTTGCACGTATGTGTACCTGAGGAGTTTCAGTTAAGACGAAAGGCACATCCTCCAGTCCACTGCTTATCACAAGCAACCCAAGTGACTTGATTGTTAAGTCTTTTTCTAATTTATCCCTGTTGTACCTTTGCCTTTATGTATGTGTTTAGCTTTATACTACTTACTGTCAATAAGTAGTATAAATTCACACCTTGCTTAGAATTTTATTCTGAATCCTTAGTTAGTAACAGTGTAGGATACGCAGCTGATATCAACAACCTGTTGAGTGATCTTGAAAAAAAACTGGCCAGATAGTTTCTTTTTTATCCCTAATTCTATTCATTAGCTACTCTTCAGTTCCATCTTGGTCTTTTGTAGTTTGCTGTTAGAATCAGGACGATTTTTTTTTCGGTTTAGGTTATGTGTACAATTAGTGTTAGGTGATGAGATTAGATTTTAGGGTTTATAATTAAAACTTAAGTTTAGGATACTGCTTAGAGTTAAGGTAAAGTTTAATGTTAGACTCTGGTTAGGATTTTTGTTTACAAAAGTAACTTTGGTGAAATTCCACGCCGAAGTGTGTGTGTGTGTAAATTGCTGAGTATAAAATTCGATTTTAGTGTATTCACCACAGTTCACCGAATTATTTAGCCAGAACTCGGATAGTTTGTATTGATTTGGCCGGATTCCTTAGTTGATTCAAATGGAGTACACCACTAGTGATGATGAGCTCTATCGTAAATGAGTGGAGCGGCCCTCCCGTGTTTAGATTACTTTGATTTGGCTGGCTGGCTAGCAAACACTCCACCGTTGGATGTCAGTGATGTCCAACTACTTATTTCACTTAATGAGTAGTTTGTAGCACTGTGCAGCTATGCCTGCTTTCTTGATTGCCGTTTATATTTGTGATCTGAATGATCTTGGCTTTCAAAGAAAACGATTTTGTGAAATTTCACTTTGAGCTGTGTAAGTTATAAGTTAGGTAGGTAAGGGAAGGGTTGAGGGATTAGCATTCGTTTCAAGTTCGGCGAAGGATTGATATCAGTAACTAGGGAGCACTGGACAATTCGTTTGTCCTAATTTATAACTCACCTGCAGTACGCACTTACCGCTAGAGTTAGAACCTGGGACTTTCGGATTAAAAGGCAAGCTCGTAAAATATTTAACCACCGTGGGACCCAACTCAATAGCCAGCGTTACCTGGAGTTCTAGTGAGGAGTCGTGATCAGTAGAGAGTGCTGCAGGTAGGGTGTGAGGACAATTACTCGCCACCAAAGACATTGGTTAGGGGTCGCGCTATGTCGTGAATTGGCAGAAGATAGAATGCATGGCCATTGGGTCGGGTCACAGTGGCCTAGTGGTCTACGAGCTTGCCTTGTAACCAGAAGGTCCTGGGTTCGAATCCCGGTGGATGTGTACTGATGAAGAGTCCCAAAACTAGAACGAAACAGCTGCCCAGTACTCTCAGGTTTTCCAATGGTTCTCTAACTAATGTCAGCTCATGATGAAATCATTGTAACCAAAAAGTGATGAGTTGTCATAATCGTAGTTGTTAATATGAGTCGATGTATAAGAGGAGTTGATTAAGTACACTGGAGTTACATAATAAATAAGTTGCACAATTTCAGTGAATGAGTTGTAACCAGAATGGCACATAGAAACGAAGGGAAATATGGAATTATGTAAAAGTTCTAAATAAATTCCAGAGTTACAAACAGTTATATAAGAAACAAACAAATAGACAAACAGAAATCAGGTTAGCAAGAAACAACGAGGCTGTTACCTTTGCTTCATATACAGAAGATTAATTTCTCTATCTGATGATGAATGGCTTGAGGCGCTTCAGAAATTCAGAGAGTGGGGTATGAAAGCGTATTGTCTTTGATAGGTGGCTGTTCTGCATTTTATACATTACTTTAAAGGAGGAGTGTTATTGCACTCCTTATTAGAGCCACTACTACTACCTTTCTGTAGCCATGTGGGCTACCTGGTGTTCTTCAACCCTTTTTTCGACGAGATACGCGTCGAACGACCAATGTATAGTTGACTCCACAGGAAAGGGTGAACCGCACATACATGCACACTATTCATATTATCATGATCCATTAGTATTGTCATGTATCTTAAACCAATCTTGTTTTTATGGATCTTATGCATAATCCCGAATGTGTTTGGTTTATACAGACGTCAAGTAATGGCCAAGTAGTTTATTTTTGTCCTTAATTTGTTAGAAAATGTTTGCTTTGAGAAAGCACACTGGACTTCAAGCTGAAAGCTTATCTTCGGTGCGTGTGCGTGTCTGTATGTACGTATATATATATCGAAACGAAGGCAACAAAATGGAATTTTATTCTCGTTAATATTCTCTTCCTGAAGTTCCAAGTTGAATGATACAGCTTCAGCCACTTATATCTCCATTACGATCAGTTCTCTGATATCATTTGCGACTGACTCCATGAGTGTTTACAAGCCTTGACTTTCTCGTCATGTCATCTCCTCCATGTCACCCTTGGGCCCACTCTACTGGCTTGTAGTTCTCCCCTGAAGGTCTCTCCCAACGAATGTTCAGCCTGTCGCCATTTCCTTTTACTTATTTGTCGCATAACAGACTGTCTCCTGTCAAAGATATCCCTTGTCGATTATTATTTCTGACTAGGAAGCCATCTGATGTTCAGTATGAAACAAGAGATGATGAGACTGTCTGACAGGCTGTTAAAAATACTTTCGGAGAAAAAAATGAATATGATACGCCATTGTTTTCATTTTCAGTGAAAAATCTTTTCTGTCTGTGCGTGCGTGCACCTGTGTGTGTGTGTTGTCTGTTTTCTAACATGTTATTTTCTCAAAGATAGAACCAAATTGTATTTTAAGCGTAGTTACTGTTTCATCATTCCGTCGTCCTCCTTGTTCTTCTTCTCCTTTTCTTTCTGTTTTAGATCTCCACACTGATATACAATGGGGATATTGATATGGCTTGTAATTATTTCGGGGATGAAATGTTTGTAGATAATTTGAAATTAAAGGTGAGGGAATTATACTGCTGATTATCATTATTATTATTGTCATTAATGGTAGTAGTGTGGCAGTGGAATACGTTAGCATCTAGTAGCGGATTACTTATTTAACAAAATGATCTCAAGTTATGGTGACTGACTGACTGACTCACTGGTTTCAGCATAGAACTTTGCGTAGGTGTGCAGCAGTTCGACTTGCTACCCCCCCTCCATGTGGCACACACACACCATCAGAAGACAGTAAAGAGATGTTCAAGCGAGAGACAATTAAACGGAAATGTGAAGCGAAAAGAATAGTAATATAGAAGAACAATAAAGTTCTACTGCATACGATAAATCACAAAGAGTGAATGCATCTATGCTAGCCATTGACAGCGATTTTGAACTAGCCATATCACCAATTATCTCCAGCTTTCATCGGTTTTTACCAATTTCAGGACCTCAACCAGACACCGATCTACACCTCCCGACGTGGCTGCTTAACGTTCTACATTAGGAAATTTAGGCAGTCTGGAATAAAGCAGTCTTTGCTTTCTCAGTTGGTCAATTCTTGTATTCTACCCATCCCCCTTTACTCCTCCCCATTAATCTTTCCTCGACTACGTAAGAAAGACTTTGCTTTGCTGAGAAGGGTAGGCACTAAAAGCCGTTAGTAGGGCAAGTGGGATATCGTTAAACCAACTGGTTAACATTATTGTAGATAGACATATAATATCATGTAATAAACTAGCGAATACAATATTGTCAGACAGACCCCGAGCATCCTCTCTATACGCAGCTGTCTCCTTGCATTTCTTCATCTGGTAGAACTAGAAGCAGCTATAGGCGGCTATATGTTAGGACTACCAAATACAAAAACTCCACAATACCATATCTGGCACAGCTGTTATATGGTGAGAAATCCGTTAGGTATGACACGATCAACTTACTGCGGCACTCTAACAAATAGTCCCATTAGTTTTTGTTTTCCTTTCCTCGTTCCTATTACACTGTTGTTCTCATCTTCTATTACACATTAATTTTATATTTCATATCCTGCGGTGCATTGTTTAAAATGTAAACTCTACGCTGTTGTTTTTATTTATTTTTTTATTTATCTTTTTTTGTGTTGCTTTTTGGTTTTAAAATCTTATGAAATTTATGAGGAAATTACATGCAACATATTGTAATGCAGGCTGAAAATTCCATACCTGTACCACAAATACTGTTTGGAATAAAGCTGTTATCATTATTATTATTAACTGTTATGGATTTCATTGACTGATGAAGCCATGTTTTCGTTCGACCACCAGTAGCTGGCTCTTTTCCAACGTGATCCCGTATTAGTTAACATCTCCCGTTGAGGAAGGCTATGGCTGGGCATGCTCAACGCATGTCCTAACCATCTGAATCCATGTAGCTTCACAACCTCGTCGATTGATTCCCCCCTCACTACCTAGCACTCGACGCCTAGCCTGAATACTGTTAACTCTATTATGTCACCCGATACGGGAAATAGAACGCAGGTACCTTTGATCAAAAGCTCCACTGGTTCACTGGTAGAACATTTGCCAGCCAAGCATGTGGTCAAGGATCGATTCCCGACTGACGCACTCCTTAACATCAAGTTATAGTGAAATTTCACAGATATTACATTGAAATCTCCATTTGCATACGCTCTTTGTTCCGTGGTAATTCTTTTGTCCTTCTTTCGTGCTTTCTTCGTACATTGTTCCACGTGAATCTTCCATTTTTTTATTCTCAAATTAATCTGTCGCCTCGCTATACAATATTCTTGCAGAATATATGATACAAACAATATACTACTTATAGAAGCTTATCAGTAGAAGAACACATGGTTCCATTTATTGTAAAGTTAGTAACTCACCGAAATGCTAATCCAGATGAAATAAACAACTTATTATTAGTAGTAGTTGAAGTGGTGGTGGTGGTTATAACCCACAAAGATTCCTGAAAAGAGGAAGGCGTGACGAAGATGAGATTGTGATGGGAGTGAGAAGGGATAATCTCCCATAGATATTTTCTTTTCTTATTCTACTGTTCATTCATATCAATCACTGATATACATACACAGGAAATATCAGATACTCTTGTAACAACAGAAGACAAGGGCCAGGCAACAGATCGTTTATTAGGGAAATCAGCACGTATTTATACATATTTCATTTACATTATTGTAGCTTATTCAAGCAGACAAACACAGTCTTCTGATTGGTTGTTTCTTGCACAAGGTTATTCTGTACTGCTTGTGATTGGTTTCTCAGAAAGTTAAGCCATATATATATCTGCGAATCGTATTTGCCCACGTTAAGTCTAGACTATGATTGGTTGTTGAATCAGTCTTGTTCCTATTTTCTCAGGGTCAATATTAGTGACCTAGACATTGACGTAAATTAATGTCTACCAATTGGTTAGCAGCCTGCTCTCACCACACTCTCATTACGAAGAAGAAGTATATGTATTGTGTTGTTATTCTATGAACTTCGATGTATTTGTGATGGTGTGTGCTTTTTCTGCTCAATGAGGTATCTTTGCAGAAAGTTATTGCTGATTTATGTCTTCATGTCTGAGTGATGAAACGTGAGATATCATTGGTTCACTCAATCGGTTTTCAGTCAGTGGTTCCCTAGGGGTTTTGTAAGTCCCCTTCTCCTTACATTAGCCTGAGGGGTGGGGGGAGTATTGGGACAACTGAGTAGTAGTGAGTAGTGGTAGCGTGATCAATTCTTCCACAATAAGTGTGACTCTATTCATCATGCCTTCAATTGAGTTCAAACAGGGCTGAAAGCAGTAACTGCCTGGATAGTTAAATAATCTTAACTATCTTCAATCACGTGTAGATGTATAACCCACATACTAAACACTACAAGATGAATGAGGGTGAAGAATAACACTGTGAAGCAGCCAAAACATCGTTCCTTTGAGTAACAGTTGCAGCACAGTTGTAACACAGAGAAAGTGAGATAAGTTCCGTTAAGAAATCTTATTCAGAATACCAAGAAGTGGACTTAATGTGGAAAAAGGGCCAAATACCTTTTAGTGCTAACACTGAACTGCAGCTTCTCTGACACTAAAGATTGATTTAGTTAGATGAATACCGGTACACTGTGGTGATCTCTTGTGAGTTGTCTTTACAGCAGTTTGAAGAGTGTCATCTTCAGACACTTATGTTGTAAGAAATACATTGTGTTTTCAACATAAAATTGGTTTGGCTTATTCTGTGATAATCTGCTTCAGTGTCCTCTGTGCCAGCAATGCCGTTGGTCGCTATTGTTTAACTTCACCCGACTTAAAATGTTATCATGTTTCTTAATCAAGGTTTACCAATCAATAAGTCTTCATGTTAACCTTCTTTTTGTCTTCCTTTGTATCCCTAATGGGATTAAGGGCTTCAAGGTTGATCTCTGAAGTTTCAGCAAAGGTGGTGTTGCCTGTTTTCTTCTGGCATGCGGTCGCTAGTCTTATGCGCCTAAACTTATCTCTTCATCGGGCGTACTATCAATACAGCGAAGTGTAGAATGACTTCGGGTGGGAATAGATCCCAGTCTGCATCAGTAATCGGTGACCATCATTCTAAATGACTAAAAATGCCGATTAAAATTTTCAAAAGAATGGATACTGAACAAAGAATACTCCTCTCGATAGCCACTTCTTCAACAGGCTCTACAGTTATATACACATCATGGTGAATGAATGAATTAGTGTTATGAACAACATTAATGCTGTGTAAATAACATCGAATCAGCAATTGATATGTATCCATATAATATGTGTGTTTGTTTGACAGTCTGATATATTTTGCTATGTATATATGGATCGACATTCCATTATAATTAGCCAATCATGTTAAGACTGTCTTTTGATTTGTTCATTTTGAATATTCGCTCTCACACTTGTGTTCACACACTTGTTCGGACATTCATATATATTTTTGCTCTCACACTCTTGTGTGACATTATTGATTCTCCTGGTGTTTTGGAAAATAGAAGTATCATCGCAAACCTAGTGGTCTTCTGATTTCCGTCTTTCTTGCGTCAGGACTATTAAATTCTCGACCAGTACATAACAGTAATACTGATAAATTACAGCTCAACAGCATCAACATAAAATAAGCTGAATGTCAGAAAAATTAGGAAAGATAATATTACAAATTCATGAATTTATAGTCTCTACTGAAGGCCGGCCAGGGCAATAGTTGTGACTGGCTGGACTTGCTTCTTTTGAACACAAAGCACTGGTTGTTTAAGGCGAATTGCAATAGCCTCTACTGTTTGGAGCATGCGGTGCTTCGATGATTTTGGCAATTTATTAAGCACTCGGTAGATTACAGAGGAGGATTCTTCAATGCTGGCTGGCTTTGTGGCCGACCGGTTTGAACCAGATGGTCCAATATGGAACTGTTAATAGTTTTAACTACGCCTTTACTTAGCCATAGTGGGAAACGTTCCCGAGCGAGCACGAAAAATCAAGTTCCTAGAGCAACGGCCGATGTAACTTGCTCCACCACCAGCGCATTTGAATTGGTAGATAAAATTTGAAGTGGCTGTTTAATCCAGGTACTTCGTCTTTCAGTCGAGGTAGCACCATCGGTCGTGTAGAGAATAAGACCGTGTAGTTCGCCAGCATTAAGAGTTCTTTGAACTGATTTTCTTAATTTCTTCGTAATTATTTCACTTGGTATATCGCCCCTGAATTGTAGTCGTATATAAAGTGGCTTCTTGTTGTTTACAGATAGTGAGCATTCCTTTTCAGCTTTCTTTGTCATGTGTTTCTTGATAAATTTGTCGAGATAGCCATCATTCTACTAATAGAATGTTTGCTATTTTTTAACTCATGGAAAATTCCCATTGTAACATTTAGAAAATCAAAACAAGTGATTCAGCGAAGAGACTCTTTTCAACGAATTTATCATCAAGCTGTACAGTCGTATATATATGGTTTATCAAAAGTTATATCCGGTGAGGGAATTGAATCTTAGGTGTGAATGCACAAAATAATAATAATAATAATAATAATATGAAGTTCAATTG